TTTAAAAAGATACCTTTGTGGCAACTGTTGCTTTTTTAAGAAAACCCCTCAAGAAATCTGAATTATTTGAAGTCACGGGTTGTTTCGAGAGGTATTAGAAGTAGCGGCTGGTGCTAGTAGCGGCTGGTGCTAGCTCCCAGCCGCCGTCATGTTTCTGATCTAAGTTCCTGCACTATTGGTGGCACCGGGTGGCCAGTGCTGCCTGCCCGGGACCCACGAAACATTAGCATGGCTGCTGCCTCTGCCAGTCAGCTCCGTGGTGTCCATGGTTCTAGATATGGGCCCTGGTGCATCTCCGCCACCTTCATAGTGCTCAGCTCAACCCAGACAATAACCGCCATCTTCGCGGTACCTGCTAGAAAGAAGATTCTAAATGTTTAAAGATTATCCAATAGGTTTATATATCAGCAAATACTCAATACACAAGATGCCCACACAATTAGAATTGTTAACCCAATTACCTAACCTTGATATGAATAACTACACATACATCTGCCTCCTTCTCGCTTCTCCTTCCTCTCCCTTTCCTCCAAACTTTTCTGCTCCACCTCCCCTTCTACTGCCCAATCACCGGCCCTAGCCTTTATTTTACAAATTAAGGTGGGCGGAAGGTTCACTAGAAGTCACCTGTGTACTGATTCACTCCTTGTCTGCGGCCCCTCCTGGGAAAGCGGAGATAGCATCAAAATATAAGACCAGAGCTATACACAACAATGGGAACCCCAAGAGCCTGAAGTGAAGACTTCCCCACATCAGACATTTTCTCAGAAAGGGATTTCTCTTTCCTTCCTGTATCCACTCTAAATCCACACTAGTGTGAGACAGGCTCGAGGCAGCTGGACCTCTGCTGTAATTGCCAGGTACTGTTATCACACAAGCTTTTGTGGACACTATTTGCAACATTTTTTTTCTTCCCTCCCTGTTAAGAATATTCCCAATCGATATAACTATTTGCCTTGGTTATTTTCTTTCTTTCTATTCATTTCTTTTGAGTTACTCTAGGAATTTTTTTTTAATTTGGTTAAAAACTTTCAGCTCAAGAATTCCTGTTTCATTCCTATTAATAGTCGCTAGATAAATAATCCTTTAACTATGACCCACTCACCAGAGAACTGTAAGCCAGTATCCTGGTGTGTTGGGGTTGGTGTGAGGGGGGAGAAGGAGAGAGGGAAGAGAGGGGAAGAGAGTTGTAGGGGCACCAAAAGGAGGAGGAGTGAAGGAAGAGAGGGGAAGAGAGTTGTAGGGGCACCAAAAGGAGGGGAGATAACAGAGGGTTTCTTTGCTCAGCTGTAAACAGAAGTGAAGAGACAGGATGATGAAAAATCAAAATATTTGGAAACAGCAGCACATGAAAAAAGCAGTTCAGATGGTAGCGGTGATTATTTTTATGCTGTATCAGCAATGCTCCAGGTATTTCCGGAGCTGTGATAGCAGAACTCTGTCCAGTCCCTGTCTCCCGCTCCACATACCACATACCTTCTCTGTGTCTCTTTGTTAAAAGAACAGTTGTCTTGGCCTGGGGCTTTCCTATCTACCTGCCTCTTGAATTTGACAGTTCTTAGAGTCATCATTTAGGCCAGTGGTTCTCAACCTTCCTAATGCTGTGACCTTTGAATACAGTTCCTCATGGTGTGGCCACACACACACACACACACACACACACACACACACACCAGCCACACACCAGTCACAATAAAATGACTTCATTGCTTGATGCTGTAATGAATCATAATGTAAATATCAGATATGCAGGATACCTGATATGTGATACCTCCCCCGGGGGTCTTGACCCATAGGTTGAGAACTTTGATTTGAGCGGCTTCCTTACATGTGCTCACATGGAGCTGCCCATCATGCATTTGTACTAGGCAGCCCTACTATGTAATGTGGCTAGAACAGGGATCTAGGGTAGGTGGTGGGGGGCGTCCAGCTTCTTCAGCAGGCTTGCGTTCCTTATAACAAGTTCTCCAGGGCCAGACCAGGTGCTGGGGGAAGCTCACTATCCATAATGTAGGAAGAAGTTAGGTAGTGGCTTCTCTGTGGAGTTTCAGGGTGCAACTAACAGGACTCCAGGCTGCAGGGATGAGATGGGAAAGACACTCAGCCAGGTTTCCGCGTGCTCAGTGGTATGTACTAGCACACAAAACTGTTCCAAATGGAGCAGGATTCAGGCCTCTTTTACAAAGTGCATTCTTCCCCCCTATGAACTAACTACTGGGAAGTGGTGGGTAGAGCACCTGGGAAGTAAAGGGCCTGGGCATGGACTCCAGAGAGGACCAGCTATGACTAAGGAAGACTATTTTTTGGTTTGGTTTTGTTTTCAAGAAAGGGTTTCTCTATGTAGCCCTGGTTGTCCTGGAACTCACTCTGTAGACCAGGCTGGCCTTCAACTTAGAGATCTGGCTGCCTCTGCCTCCTGGGATCAAAGATATGCACCATCACCACCCAGCTCTAAGTCAGACTCTTAACACACACTGTGGTGGTTTGAATGTAATTGAGCCACGGGAAGTGGCACTATTAGATGAGACTTTATTCAAGGAAGTGTGTCACTATGGGGCGGGCTTTGAGGTCTCCTCTCGTGCTTAGGCTCCACCCAGTGTAGAAGAGAGCCTCCTCCTGGCTGCCTTCCAATCAAAATGTAAAACTCTTGGCTCCTCCAGTCCTATGTCTGCCTGCATGCTGCCATGTTTCTCACCGTAAGAATAGAGCGAATCTCTAAAACTGTAAGCCAACTCCGGCTAAATGTTTGTCCTTATAAGCATTGCTTTGGTCTTGGTGTCTCTTCACAGCAATAAAACCCTAACTAAGACACATATCTTGGGTTCTGAGTGTGCATTTTGGGGAGAAATTGGTGATAGTCACAGTATATCCCGTTGAACAAGCACCTGCATGTGGCTCTCCATGTGCAGGGCCCAGTTTGTCCTGAGATGTTTGGACCTTAGATTCCCAATGGGATGGTCAATAGACTTGGGGAGGGAGGGACCAACATCTCAACAGCTTAGATACCTTCTAGTCCCACTGCTGGCCCCTGAGGTTAGACTGTTGCCTTTCAGATTTTAACATTTTATTTCCTCCTCCCTGGCTGTCCCAGACAAAGCTTGCTCAGTGCAGGTACCTGGGTATGACTTGTAAAACCCTGTGTCCCTAATGCTCAGGAAACACATTAGACTCAAGCCAACTGTGAGATGTGACCTGAGTATGAGACCCTGGGAAGCCAAGTGGGAAAAGTGTGTGGCCTTGTTGGAGGAGGTGTACCACTTGGGGTGGCCTTTAGGTTTCAAAAGTCATGCTGGGCCCAGTATCTCTCTCCTCCCTCCCTCCCTCCCTCCCTCCCTCCCTCCCTCCCTCCCTCCCTTCCTCCCTTGCTCCCTCCCTCAGTCTCTTCTTCACTTCCTCCTTTCATTGCCTTGGTCATGGTATTTCTTCACAGCAATAGAACACTATGACCCAGACTTAGTTATCAAGGCTTAAAACGATCCCAGGGGTAGTCTTGGCAACATTTCATGATAGTCAATAAAAAATGATGGCCAGATGCATGGGCCAGCAATATCAAAGTGATAGACTCCACACTTCCCACTGTCCAACCGTCTTTTATTTGTTTGAGGTCATTCAGCAAATACTCAATGGTGAAAATCACAGACAGCTCCCAGGTTAAAAAAAAAAAAAAAGATAAATGGTGGCTTTTCAAGATGCCGGGGGAATTAGTGACTGATACAGTGTAGAAGCTAAACCTGCACACACACACATCCATGTCCCAGCCCCACCCCCAAGATGCCTCAGGGCCCCCCCCCCCCATCCCCCCCATACACACAAATGGAGAAAAGTTAGATTTAGTTAAGTTCCTTTTGGTAATTAGACAGCTGGACTGTTGAGTGAGGACACTTGGCACGCAGGGGCCCTTGGCAAGGGGCTGAGATATGCCCAGATGGTGATAGGATGGAGGGCCCAGCTAAGTCCGCAGAGAGTTCACTAGACTTCTGCTTTTCTTTTCACAAGGCCTGTCCTTCGAAGAAGCCCAAATGCCCCCAAATGAAAACACCTTTCCATGATGAATCAGTCTGGCCCTGGCCAGGCCCCCAGGAAGAGTTGAGAGCACACAGAAATGAGTGTAGACCTCCATCTAGGCCCTTTCACAGCCCCTACAATAATATAGCAGCTGCTGCTTCTCCAGTGTTTCTGGGAGGATCCTGAAGGTAAATCTAGGTTCCAATCTCCTTCACTGAAGTCTTTTCTAAAGGATGAAGATGCCTCTGGTCGTTAGGAAGTTGGTCTTTGAGGCTCTACACAGGTGCGCCAAGCATACCTTTCTGAAAGATCCAGCACACGCGTCTTTCCCATTCTGACTCCCCAAACCCAGCAGTTTATTTCTTCCACAAATTTACCCTCAAATTATGTACATTTTCCTTGGGCCCTTAATACAGAGGAAGTAGGAGTGTGATGGGGAGGAAGGCAGGTCTCAACAACTTCTCCAGGGCTATAGCACAAGCTACAAGCAAGGTATGTGTAAGGTCAGTATATTGTCAAGCCTTTGTGGAGCCTTGCCTGTTTGAGGAAATAAGACACTATGTCCTAAACCTATCGTACAGAGCACCATTAACAACCAGAACCTAAACAGGCACCACAGCAGGGATGGCAATCGGAACAGTGCCTGAGAGGTTCGAGGTTAGTTTTCTAGAAAAGTCGAGCTCAGCTGAGTTCACGGTTGGGAAACTCCAAAAGGCAGTCATCTTCAGGGCAGCTGGGGTGGGAGAAATCTTCAGGGGAGAAGAAGGAGCAGTCATCTTTGGTGGGGGGATAGTTTTCTCATAGTCATCACAAGGAGTAAAAACGTCCAAAGATAACAATGCCAAAGTGAGCCTCCTCATCATTCCAGAAAGATGGTCTGCTGGCCCTGCGGGTGGCTTGCTGGGTTTATCACCCAGTTGGCAGATGGCAAGACCTGCTTTGAGGGATAATCATGCGGCCTCCAGGGTCTTACTGGGCTTGGTTCTCCCTGCACTTCAGTGGTAATAGATGCTGAAGGCATGCAGGATATAGAGCAGCGTGGTGAGGAAGGCGAAGAACTAGAAGGAAAGACGGAGAGTCAGGGTCAGTGCAGGGTAAGTACCAGGCAGCTACTCCATCCTCTAGGGATGCTTTCTCCTTAGGCATTGCTAGGGCTATACAGTTTCTAACTGTTCAGCTCCTGGACTTCCTCCAATTGCAGCCTGGGCCTCCACTTGGCTTCGAAGCTACTCTTCTCTCTCCGTGAGCTGGAACCTAGGTCATGCTGAGCTGTCTCTCTGGGCCCATTTCGATGTGTGTCTCTGTGCTCTGGCAACTTCCACAGCTATGCTCACTGGCCCAGAACTCTGCTTGGAGAACCTTGCCTGTGAATGTCTCGGGTTCTTCTCAAGCTCTTAATGGCCCAAGCTGATCTCCTAAATCCTCTACGCTCAGTCAGCCCCAGGATTCACATCCCCTCCAGCTTCCAGTGATACAAACCTGAGATCTTTCTTACTCTCCATCTGTCAAGGCTGAAACCAGCTTCAAAGTCTGCTATCTTGCTAGCTCTTGGTACATCTGTCTCCTTTGCTGCTATCATCCCTCTCTAGACTCTCAGGGCCTCAGTTCATCTCCTGCCTACTCTGCCTCTTCTATTTTGTTGCAACAGGAAAACATGACCATAGCTAAAATGGAGCTTAAAATGGCACAATGGCTTTCCTTAGGATGAAAGTCACTCTAGCCTCACTGTCCTTCTGTCTACTTACCCTCTGTTCCATCCACTCACCCATCATCCACTAATCTACTCACCCATCATCCACTTATCCATCCATCCATCATTCATTCATTCATTCATTCATCATCCATCATCTATTCATCCACTCACCTGACATCTATCCAGCCATCACCCATTCTTCCACCCATTCACTCTCCAACTCATCCATCTATCCACCCACCCATCATCCATCCATCCACACATCCATCCATCCACCCATCATCCACCCACCCATCAACCATCCATCCATCCATCATCCATCCATCCACCATCTACCCACCCATCATCCATCCATCCATCCATCCATCCATCCATC